AAGGGTTTAGGGTTTAAGGCGTAAGGGTTTAGGGTTGAAGGGTTTAAGGTTGAAGGGTTTAGGGTTTAGGGTTTAACGGTTTAGGGTGTTTAGGGTTTAGGGGTTTAGGGTTTGGAGCAGAGCCTGGGTTCAAAAAAAGGGCTTTAGGGTTTAGGGTTTAGGGTTTAGATCCCCGAAGCCTCTAAGAATATTCTGGGCTTCTAGACACTGGAAGTCGAATCGCACATCCTGCGCCGGAAACTCGGCTAGTATTGCAGGGGCTTTTGGACGAAGAGTTTGGGAGTCGGGAGTTTAGGGCTTAGGGTTTAGGGTTTAGGGTTTAGGGTTTAGGGTTTAGTTTAGGGTTTAGGGTTTAGGGTTTAGGCTTGCATATGCTTGCATCGATTCTCGGGTAGGGTTTCGGAAGATCCACAGCAACGTCCACAGGTGCCCCCAAGCAATCCGCAGCTTCAGCTTTAAGTGTCGCGCTTTCTACAGCCCCACGCCACGCGGCAGCCCCGAAAGCCCGAACAGTACCACAATCTGCAGGTCAGTCCCATAGGATTAAAAACACCGGGCTACCCTTAGCACCCGGAACTCCGAAATGCCTTAAACCCTAAATCCTAGACCCCTAACCCCCAAAGCCCTAAAGCCCTAAACCCTAGCCAGGGCACCACGGAAGATCGGAGCCCCCCTAGACCGAAGCCCGGAACAACATAGCCGGAAGTTAAGACTTGACAGCCAAGTACCTTTTTTGGCGGGTTAGGGGTTGAATTAGGGTTTAGCAAGAAGGGTCTTATCCGAGCAAATCAGTCTAGACAATTCAGTTTTTCGCTCTCACCTTCTGAGGGGTCACGGCAGAGGGGGTTCCGCGCTTGATAGCTTGTCGGAGTTTCGGCAGGGATTGAGGTTTAAGCCAAATCCCGAAAGAAGCAACCCTAAACCAGTAAACCCTAACCCCGGTGAGGGGCTTAGCCTGCAACACTTGTAGTTTAGAAGATGCGATCAACGAGAACGTTCGGGTTTACGCATCTAGGTCCGAAAAAGTGGTAATAGTATCCTCCTACAGTCCCTAAATCATTCTACGGTTTATGCTTAACTTCTAACCTGCCTGTAAAAGCCTTTACGAAACCTGTAGACGACCACAAAGAGGTATCCCTGATCGGTCCTTACGCTAAACCCTAAACGGCAGCTGCGCACAAGAAGAAGGGCGCTAACAAAAAAAAACCCTTAAACCCTAAACCTAAATGCCCGAAATAGAGGCCCTTGTATTATTAAGCTATCAGAGTAGGGGGTTTAGCCTGACAAGTCTCCGGCGCTCCGCGGCAACAAAGAACCTGGGCTGTTGGACTAGAAGCTAAACCCTAAAGACCCTATAAACCCTAAACCCTAAACCCTATAAACCCTATAGACCCTATAAACCCTAAACCCTAAACCCTATAAACCCTATAAACCCTATAACCCCTATAAACCCTAGACCCTTAAGCATCACAAGGTTCGGGGCCGGGAGAGGAGTTTCGAGTCTAGGTTTAGGTTATTTAGGGCTTAGGGTTTAGGGTTTAGGGTTTAGGGTTTAGGGTTTAGGTTAGAATCCCGGCGCCCCAGTGGTGACTGTTTGCAGTGTCATTTTCCTTCTCAAAACCCAATCGTACTGTTTATGATCTAAATCCTGCATTACCTTAAGGACGTTAAACCAAGGGAATTGTGGTATATTCCTCATTATCTTCCTTACTATGGGTTATGCAGGATTTATATCAGCAACCGTAGGAAGTCTTGAGCCTGAGGTCGTTACGCGTAGAAACAGGAAAAGCAGCCGTAGCATGTAATGTAGGGCAATGCAGGGGGTTAGGGTTTAGGCTCTAGGGTTTAAGGTTTAATTAGTCGGTCGAGGTTTAGTAAGACTTCCGCCCCAATAGTCCTTTTTGACTTCTTGGACAAATTAAATTGCAAAGGCCCCTGTAGAAGATTCTTGTGCGCAGCAGCATAGCCAGGCGCGCTTATCGACGGAGGCCGTTCTGAAAGTTCTGCTGGAGTGAGCCGCGGGGTCGGGAAGGGTTTAAGGCTTGGGCTGGGGGTGAGGGTTTAGGGTTTAGGGCTCAGCGTGCGAGTTTGTGGCGATTGTTTCGGTTGGAAAAACTAACAAAGAGAAGCAAGCAAAAGGCAGCTAGGGAAGCCCAGGTGTTGTTTTTTGTTCTGACCGTGGGTAGGAGGGGCCAGGTCTTGCAGCATGGAGGGGAGTGGCCTGGGCTTCCTGTATTTCAGCCGCTTTAATCCGAGACCCTAACCATTCAGCACCGAAGCCCATCCGAATGTTGCAGTACTACCTACAGTCTTCATTGTAGTTCCGTTTTGGGGTTACCTTTATTGGACATCAGTATAGCTCTGTAGGTCGGAGACGGGATTCCCTAAACCCTAAACCCTAAACCGTGGGGGATTTAGGGCTTTAGGGTTGTAGGGTTTGGTGTTTAGGGTCCCATCCTGCGAGAAAGCCTCGAATTCGAGGCCCTTGAGAAAGTGCACCCAGAGACTCCAATATCCCTGAATTAAGGAATATTCCTTAAATTATAGTAAGATCCTTAATATGAGTTAAGGTATATTCCTTAATTAAGGGATATTGGAGTCTCTGTGCATCTGCTCCTGAGGGTTCTCAGCTGATAAGCCTACAACACCGCTCGTCCAACCGCCCAGTGGAAGACCATTTTCAGACTCCCGGCGAGACAAAAAAGGGGTCATTTTACAGGGGCCTGAATAACTACCATCCTTTTAAAAACTATACTATAAAGGGCACCGAATTTAAAACCCTATTCTGATTATTAAGGCCCCTATTACTATATTACCTGAACTGAAAGACCTCACGCAAGAGCCCAGAGCCCCGGACCCACGAAAAGAAGCCTCGAAGCGATGACTTGCTGCCAGGCGCGGCTGTCGCTTGGCAGACACGAAACTCTTAGCCCACAAAGTGTGGGGTCATCTGTCTCTAAATACCCTAAACCCTAAACCGTCACGCACAGGTCCAGAAGTGTGCCATGCGATACAAAAGCACAAGTATCTAGGACATTTTCAGGTGGGTAGCTACCGTTATAGGAGCCTTATAGAAGGTTTACATACCTATGGAAGCCTTATAGAAGCCCGATATACCCTAAACTCCCCACCTGTAGTTCCCTGTAGCGCAGGATAGGCATCCACGGCATCGAAGAGTTTCAGTTCATGCGGGACGCGGATGTCTTGCAGGCTGGGCAAAGGCTTCTCTGGCCTATGAAACCCGCCAACTTCAAAGCGTTTAGGGTTTAGGGTTTAGGGTTATGTAGAATTTAGGGTTTAGGGGTTTGGGGTTGAGAAGCTCTAGGATTAGGGTTTAGTTTAGGGTTATGTAGAATTTTGGGTCCAGGCTTTACGCTTTTCGTAATTTGGGTTTAGTTTTGGAATTCTCATTATTGGTAATTTGGTCATCATTTCCTAGCGTTGTTAGTTAGAATACAATTTCGGCTTTCGGGTTTACACCTAGTCTGTAATGCTCAATAGGGATCCTGCGGGGTTTGCCTTCAAATCACAATATTATCTGAATTCGCTTCAGTGGTCAACTGAACCAAAGCCCAGGGCTCACGGCGGGTGTCCTTGCTTACAACGAGCAGGAGTTGTCTGTGGCTGGAGCCCCTGCTGCCTCTACCTGCCTATTGACAGGCCAGAGTGGAAGGAGGAGAACATTCGGCGTTTGGTCCTGCTTCACGGCTTCATGAAGTATCTGTATGCAACCCGAGAGCACTTCATCACACAGCGAGTGCAGAAGCTGATCCTCGCTCCAAGCTGTCATGCTTTCATTGAAACGGTCGAAGTTGAACTAAAACGTCACTGCAATTATTGAGATTCCTGCGTAAGGTCCCTTTGTCTACAAGTAGATGCTCCTCAAGTTTTGGGCTTGAGGGGCGTGCCTTGGTTTGAGGATTCAGGGCTTCTCTTTAGGGCCAAATTCGTGATTTTTGGTGTGGGTTTAGGATTTGGCGTGGTTACCCTACAGTTACCCAGTCAAACTCCGTGTCTTTGAGACCAAGTTCGTGGTTTGTGGTTTCGGTTTAAGATTTGGCTTGGTTACCCTACAACTTCGTCAAAAAGAAACGCCCTGTGAAGCCCTTATACTAGACCCCTCAGAGGCAACACCCCCTTAAGTTCATACAGGGGCCTGAATAATTTCTATTTTAGGAGTTCCTTATTATGAGTATAGTATAATATACCCCAAAATCTTATTCTAATCATCTTAGCCCCTAAGCCCTAAACCCTTATAGTAACCCTCATAAAACCCTTTTAAGGAACTTAAAGGGACCCCAAAACCCTATTCTAATTATTATCAGGCCCCTACATTAACCTTTTCGGGGGTTGCTGAAACAGAACCCTTATCTCTCAAAGCCCCACGCCCTGTAAGTTCCAAAGCCTAGAGTCCGGTTTAGGGTTTAGGGTTTAGGTAGACCATACTGCCGCTGAGTGAACAGCCAGGGCAGGCTTGTAAACACCTAGCGAGTCGTCGCTTTCAGACTCGTGCAGTCGGAAAAAAGGTGTGAACAGAAAACCCCAACCCGAAATCCTAAAACCTTAAACCCTAAACCCAGAACCCCAAATCCTAAACCCTAAATACTAAAACCTTCAACCCTAAACCCAAAACCCCAAATCCTAAACTCTAAATCCTAAAACCTTAAACTCTACATCCCCAGACTTAAACTCTACATCCCTAGACTTAAACTCTACATCCCCAGACTTAAGCCCTCCAAAACCCCAAACCCTCAACCCTCAACCCGTCCTTGGAGCCAGGTCATCCACCCCGCAGCCAAGGGAGGCGGAGCGGCAGCAGCCTCGCTATTGAAGCCAGGGTTCGGTTTAGGGTTCAGGGTTTAGGGTTCAGGGCTCCAGGATTTTAGGGGTTTGGGGGTTTAGCGGTTTAGGGTTTAGGGGCTTACGGTTTAGGGGTTTAGGGTTTAGGATCTAGGGTTTACTAAGCCATACATACATACATACATATATATATATATACACATATACATATACATATATATATATATATATATATAGCACATATGTCGTGTAGTTTTAAGAAACATATACACGTATATGTATATATAACTATGATATTTAAACACGAGGTCCATGGGCCAGACTCTCAAGCAGCTGGGAAGCACCTCGTCGGCAACTTTTGGACATACTGAAAGTTTAGGGCGTATGGTTTATGATTCAGGGAATAGGTCTCTGGGTTAGGATGGGTGTAGGCTGCAGATTGTGAGTTCTGCCAGGTTATGAAGAAAAATGTTCAGGGTGTGAGAAGGGGCTTATGTGGACGTTGCGCCTGTATAAACGTTAAGCTCCCAAAACCATGAGCCCCTAAACGAGCACACACGCTTTTTGGGCAAGTTCGGGACATAGGAACTTTGGCAGAGTTTCTTTGCGCTGCCCTTCTGCCAAGCTCTTGCATTGGAGAATCGGGAAGGAGGTTGGAGACCATAACTAGTCGGATGTCTATTTCAACGGCGTATCGAGGTTTGTAGTAAAGGTCTACAAAGCAGCATGAAGAAGTGATGACGTATTCAGCAGCCTCAGCTCGTGCCGAACATCTGAACACCCCTCGTTCTTGAACCCCTTTTTAAGGAACCGCTAGAAGTGCCTAAACCCCTAAACCCCTGAACCCCTAAAACATCCCCAGTTCCTAACCACCGAGGCTGCGACAGGTGCCGTCCCCAGGCTCGGCCTCGGTACCAAAAACCGGAAAGGCTTGATTGGAGCTCGCCCGGCCAATGTCCCTCGTAGCACATCGTGTTGGCAAGCCCTTTTTCACAAGGGACTCTGCTGCTGCCCTTACTGCCCAGCTTGACCCACAAGACAGTACTCATGACTGAGATGCGAGACCGGCCACNNCCCCCCCCCCCCCCCCAAACTCGCAAAACCCTTCAGGTACTGGCGGATCAGTGGTAAGACCGGGGAGCCATGGACAATCCAGCTCCAGGCAGGGGCGGCTTAAGCATTCGGGGGCTTCAAGAAGCCACCCTCAGCGCCCCCAATCCCTAGACCCCAAACCCTCAACCCCA